TTTTTTTTCAAGATACAGAATTCATACTTAAGGAACAAAATGAATAGTTCCTAAAATCTATGCATCTATTTAACATCTTAACACTTTGATCCCCAAATAATAACTGTAAAATTACTTGGGAACAGCATTAATGTACCTACCTTTGACGATTTAAGTCTTGGAAGCCCAGTTCTATATGTCTTGAAGGTACTTTTTCCACAGAAGTTAAATAATGTCAACAGTTTAGTAGAGGTTTTGATGTGGAATAATTTAATAATAAAACTTTATCTAATAAGCATGCAATGGTTACACTAGGACAAAACCTCTTAAAGCTGCAGTGGCTCAGTTTAATCACTCTGAGTACTTGAGCTAAGGTCAGTTCTTTTACTTTTGAACTGTTATTTAGGGAGGGCTTCTGTTTCTGCTGGGTTTTTTAAGGCCAACAGATAAAAGGCAGAGTCAGATGCTCTGAGGTAAAAGTGGGTAACTGCTGAGCTACACTAGCAATAATAAAGGATCAGTGGGCAGACAAAGAATCTAAATGACTGAATTATCTAAAATGACTCCCAGTTCAACAATTTGGAGCAGCACATTTTAAGTTTAACCACAATAAGCATTCTCAGAAGCTCTTCAAGAATGTAGGATCTCCTGTCCTCCCCAAAGAAGTCCAACCAACCTAGCATTAGTGCTAAATATTCCCAATAGCTAGACAGTGCAGCCTGAAGAGATATAAGAAAATTTCATAAGACCATTTATCAAAAGACATGATCTTTTGAATTTGTTAGAATTACACAACAAATACAAAAAAAAAAGTTCTCCAGAGGAAAAGGTTTTCTACTCACCATTGTTAGCTGCTAACATGTCAATCATACGGCCAGGTGTGCAAACAATAATTTCAGCACCTCTTTTGAGTTCAGCTATCTGATTTTAAAACACAGTAAATAGATTATTAGTGTGGGGTTTTTCTTCGTGGTTTGGGGGTCTTTTAAAACATGTATCACCTTGCTAGAAAAAAGCACAATACCCTGTCATACAGCTGTTCTACTAATGTCAATTGCTTATGTGAAGATTTTACTTAGCAATTCCTTTGAACTTTGCTTCCTAAAAAAGGAACCTCTGACCACCCAAGTCAACCTCAAGTAGTTATAAACTCTAACCAGTTATAGATCTGTAAGAAATGTTGTCTCAGGGACAACCAATATGAAAAAAACCACTTTCCACCACAGACAGTCATTCCAGTTGTCTCCATAAATGGGGGAAGTGGGAGGAAACCCTTGACAATTCTCTCTAAATTACCTTAGCCTTAAATATTTGAGAATGCACTAAACCAAAATTAACATTTTCTGGCTCTTGTTGCCATCTTGAAGAGAACTCTGATAAAAATGTATCTTCTCAATAACTTTCAAACTACTGCATCCCTCTAATAATTTAATTGTTGCCATGCTCAGTACACACATAAAGAGAAACAGTCTGAAATTTCTGAGGACCATACTTGAGAAGTTTCAGGAAGATCTGCAGGTTTCAGGCTAAGTTACATGCAAATGCTTCACCTTTTGCATTACTCCCATTCACACAGAGAAAATCCATAAGGAAGGCTGACAATGTGCTGGATTTATGGGGAGGAGAAAGGAACTCATTTCACTGCAAAAGTAACATTAAAGTCCAGGAGTTCTTTGACAAGTAAGATATTTCTTTTGCATACCTGTTCACTGATTCCTGTGCCTCCATAAACACAGACAACTCGAAGCCCAAGTGTCTTTGAGAATTTCTTACACTCCTTGGTAATCTGCAAAGCCAGCTCACGAGTAGGGGTCATGATGACAGCTGGAAAGCACAGAATTCTCATCATACATTGCAATGTAAAAGTGGTTGCTATTTAAGACAATAAAAAATAACCCTTTGTAATGATGTTTGCAGCAATTTACTCATGTATTTTTAAAAATGTCATTTCAAGAAAATGAAGACAGCATGAGGATGGTGAGGAAATACAAAGTTTCAAAATCTAAGGGGTAAGGTCTTCCTTCCACATACATGGACCTGCAAGTGCTCTTGAAACAACATTAGACAGCACAGTGACCATCATCAACATCACACAGTATGGTGATCAATTAGCTAAATAACAACAAGCCACTCATTAATGGACACTAGCAAGTCAACATTCACCCCTAGAATCAAGAGACCTGATGACTCTTCTAAAGCATATGCTTAAGATTTTATTTCAATAGCCATTTTGAAAACAGGAAGCTTTGTACCTATGGGACCTTCTCCTTCTTCTAAGGCTCTCTGATCCATGATGTGCCTGAACATGGGCAAGAGGAAGGCAATGGTTTTTCCACTCCCTGTTTTGGCAATGCCAATCAGATCCCGTCCGTTCATAATGGCTGGGATAGCCTGGGTTTGAATGGGAGTGGGCTTCTCATAGCCATGTCTGAAAGAGAGGGGAAAAAAAGAGATTTTAAGAACAGCATTTGATAGGTGTGAATCACAATGTGCCTGTTCATATTCACCTGTCAGTGCTGTTCAAAAAATACAGCTTAAAACTGAGCAGCAAAGGCACAAAACAGAAGGCACAAAGAACAGCTTACAACAACAGTGCAGATCTGAGGGATAAAAACTCTCCTGACAAACTATTTCACATCTAAAGATGTGGGTGTGCTGCATTATGCAACCAAGAAGGTTTTTTTCTCATAAATGTGACAGAACACTGAGCAGAAATAAAGCATGCTACAGTTCATACAGCACTTGCTTACTTTTTGAGGGCTGTGAGAATCTTCATGGAGATACCACACTGTACCCAGGTTTTTATTGGTTTGGGGCAGCCTTTTCCCTTGACTGTAATTCCCTCCAACTCCAGCCTGTACACATTCACCTCTGAAACAGAGTTTGCATTACAACACAGTCAAACTTGGCATTTCACCACTACCTTGATCAAAATATTCTTGATCTGCCCCTGAACATGAAATAAAGATTTTAACACCACCAGAAAAACAGCTTTTAACTCATACATACAGAAGGTAAGCAGAAAGAACTCAGGTAAATTTTTCAATCAAAGCCTCCTATATAATTATAGGAAGTTACCAATAACAGTGATTTGACTACTTCAGTGTTTTTCCAACCCAAGTTGCTCCAAATGCCCTTTATATTCCAAAAGAATCTGCTGTTTCTTTGCACATCACCATCTACTACTCTTTTCTTTAATAGTACCCAGAGTGTTCTCATTGTATTTATCCTTACCTTCCTGAGTCATTTTAGCTAGTTCTGGTACTTCAACATAGAAGTTTTTCCTAAAAGGTTCATATTCAATCTTTCCATGATCCACTGGTTCTAGCAGCTTTCTTTGCTTGGTCTGGTAGCCAGTCAGGGCAGTCTGAAGATCAACTTCCTCCTCTTCTGAGGAATACTGTAGAGATTATAATTGGTGTGTAAATCAGTACAAACAGTATCCTGAGAGGCTCTGTTCTTTCATTTATAGAGGAGCTTTATTCAGAAACAAGTTACTCTTACCCTGCTAGACCAGATACTGAAAACCTGTTCTTAGTTAAAGAAGAGTCTCAGTTTTTCTTTCATTTATTTCTTCCATGTTTCTCCTAAACCTTAATTTTTGCTGTGTTTAGCATCACTTCCATGACTTTATGAATACCAACTCCCAATTATAATTGGTGTGTAAATCAGTACAAACTGTATCCTGAGAGGCTCTGTTCTTTCATTTATAGAGGAGCTTTATTCAGAAACAAGTTACTCTTACCCTGCTAGACCAGATACTGAAAACCTGTTCTTAGTTAGAGTCTCAGTTGTTCTTTCATTTATTTCTTCCATGTTACTCCTAAACCTGATTTTTTGCTGTGTTTAGCATCACTTCCATGACTTTATGAATACCAACTCCCAGCCTTGTCATTTAGAAATAATCACTGCCATACAACAGAAGCAGTAAGAGGAACAGACTAAGACAAAAAGTCCAGCCAGCACTAGTCTGTGTCCCACTGCAGTGACTGTTCTGACAGATGGACCCAACTCACCTTGCCACCAGCCAAGTCCTACTGACCCCAAGCAGCATCAAGCTCAGCATGACCCCACTGAGCTGCAGGGGATCCCATCTATGCCTTGGGCAAAGGTCTAAGACCCCCTGAACAGCAATGTACCCATACCCTTAGCAACTACTCAGGCCTGCTCCACTGCACACAACCACATTAAGCACTCAATATTCTTCTGGATGCATTTTTTGAAGGGAGTTTGGACACAAATGAGTAATTCTGAGAAGTTCAGGTCCAATCCCTGCACAAGATGGCTCTGTGAGAATCCCAGAGTGCTGCTCTGTTCAAATTCAGTATTCATGCTGATCTGCCACTGCCCAACAGGCAAGAAATGCCACACTGTGAAGATTTACCAGTTCATGGAACCCACATCCAGAGAGGGCAGCTGACATTGATCTATTTGCACCACCTCCTCCTCCTAAGACAAGTTGGTTATTTACAGCCAGTGTAAAAGAAGTGCTTTTAAATTTGCCTTGGGGTGCTGTCTACTAGAAGACAGAGCTTGGCACACAATTCTCTAGCCCCATGCAGAATCTAACTCCTTTTTACCATTTCCTAAACTGTAAGATGAGCACATCTACCTCCTATTTCTGCTAAGAGATGTCTCCTTAAGAATTACGAAGTGTTTTGAGGTCCAGAACTTACAGATGGTTTGGAGATGAATATATTTATGCCTAGAAAGACATTCAGCAGAAATGTAACACACAAATCCCATTTTTTACACACAGGCTCAGCAGGACTGCCTGTCCAAAATCAGCACCCTGAACTGAGCATGCCCAGTGTGTGACATACCCCAGGCCCATTACCTCCATTGCATCTTGGTCGTTCTCCATGAGCTCCCCTTTCTTCTTCTCTGACTCTACAGTTGCTTTTTTGGTTGTCACCACAGTTACTACTTTGGTAACAGTTGGTCCAGTTTTCTACAAAAACAGTTAAGAAAAATTACTGCATTATCACACAGAACAAAACCATACTGTGTAAAATATACAGAACATTTGCATTATGCTGGTTTTGGTTTTTTCCACTTCACTCGGTGAAATTTTATCAGAATAATGTTTGATAAAACAGCTTGATTAAAAATAAAACAGGAAATTAAAATTATGGCAAATAGGCACCAAGTGTATCTAACTTACTACTTTCTTTTTTGCACTTTCCCTGTTTTTTTTTTCTCCAAAGCCATTTTGTTATAAAACCACAAGGGTATTTTTAAAGGACAAAGATATCTTAGTGATTTTACCTTTTCACTCCCACCACCTTTCACACTTCTCATATTGAACTTCTTGACCTCTTCTTTTACTTCTTCCATATAAGCATCCAAAGGATCTAACTCTTCATCTTCAACCTCATTCCCTTCTTTTTCTCCTTCTGCAGTTTCCTCTTCATCATCTAATACAAGCAAGAAAGACAG